TTCTCATCCACCTTGAAATGAACCTTGAATAAATTGTATCATTAAATGTAAGATTAATAGGCGAAAATAAACCAAATGAAAACAGAAGTGTGAAGTGATCTACATCCCTTATGCTTTCGAATCAGCAATCAAATTTAGCAAAAAAAGAACTATAAATGTTGTGGTACGGTAATAAAGAGTAGATAGACTTCATATAATTATGCATCAGATTAACTTTTTCGTACCGTTTTTATTCAATCAAAATGCCTTGATTTTTTTCTACGTTTTTGTAAAAGAAAGAAGATAGTATAGTAGCGTTTAAAAAAAATATATCTAAAGTATCTGTTCTTTCACACTATTGGATAAAACGAATACAATGAAAGGTTAATTCTAGATTATGAGCGATGGGCAGTAAAGACTCAATGTTCAGCATTTGTCACGCATATTTACGACACAGTTTTACTGGAAGATATATCTATTGGTATGTAAATGAAATATCTTATAGACGAGATTTTTTTTAATTTTCAAATTTAGTCGCTGCGTGTTTTTGTTGTTTTCAAACGTAGTCTATTCAATACTCGTTCAGGCGATTCTTAATAAATATGTGAAAAGAGAGATCACTATTAATACTAGTTCATAGTTGTTGTTGTCGTGTGTGTGTGTGTATGTCTTCATGTTCAATGATGTGAAAATATTTCTATTATGCAGATACAATTGCGCAACGACCTAATCATACAACAAGTTTAAGTCAAAAATATACATATCTCGTTGAAATTACATATTAACGCAAAAAAAGGTATAGCGTATGAAGATCTATTAGTATATTGGTAGAAAAATATGAAAGTTGCAGTATTAATAATGATCTTTTGAAACTCCGACGTACGTATCAATATTGAAAGGATACTTGAGTTTAGGCAAAAATGTGGATAACAGAATATTTTTTTTAACATAGAACATCCTCCTGTATCCGTATTCACACGGACGGACACTTGAGTTATCTTCAGTGGGAATATCAACAATAAGAGAGAAATCAAATGCATAACGTTTATCAAAATATTTGAATCAATACAATTCATGTCATCGCGACATCCTTTTCATAGTTATATATGTCTGACAGTGGCGTAACTACGGTTGAGGTTGGGGGGTGGGGAGGCCGAGGTATTTTTCGAACTAATGGAGTTGGCCCAACGATAAATAAAATTCTAGTTACACCACTAACACCGGAGTTTTGTCTTCAGATGAATAAATCTTTTAAGCAGTACCATGTCCATTGAACACGGCGTGTATGTTAAATGAATAACAGTGATTAGCTAGTCTTTATCGTGTCAATGAAAAGACGATTAGAAATTGATGAGATGTTTAGCAACGTTCATTCTATTGTCAGTTCAACCTTCTTTTAGATACATAAATAATGTGGGCCCTATTTTTTTAATGAAAGATGTCTCTCTTTCTTCAATTGTTCAGATTTTTTGTATTTTTTAATCCTGTTAAAAATTAAATTTCTTCACAACATATTTCTTAAATCGTCCAGAATTGAGTTTGATTGTGTGCAGTTACAAATTTTGATAAAAGAAAGAAGAAAAAAAAAAAACATGTATATTATTTCTGCATATTGTTTCTGTTTTTTATTCTTTTCTTTTGCTTTTGGTTCTATAGACAGATACATATTCTATTACCTAATTTCAAATAGATACTATCAGATCAATGCATATATTTAAATTCCAATGAGTCTCGAGAACATAGAGAAAAAAATTGTTTATTTATATCATTATGTAAGCTTTCAAATAGTAGAAAATAAATAAAAACAAAGTGTAGGTAATTGAAAATATTCGTTATCATGAAATTTCAATTATAACTCGTCAATAGTTTTTTATAGCATTTATTACAATAAACTATAGAAGGACCAAAACTTATTTTTATTTTTTGGTTTGAACTAGGCTATATAAAATCAAAAATAAATGTTTTACGGTGATGAATCCACTTACTGTTTATTCTTCTCTTCTCATTAAATTTTATTCACTTTTTTTTTTTCTTCTTCTCTTCCACTGATATGTATTCATATATTTTTCTCTTTTTTTCAGATATATGTTGAACGTGATTTGAACAGTTTTTAATATTATGAAATATGTATCGAGAGAAGATGAAAACAAAAAAGAGAAAGTTGTTTTAAATTAAATAATAATAATATCAACAACGCCAACACTGTTCAACAAGTGGTAAGTCTACAGTTGCACAAAAAAGTTTATCTTTCATAGTAATTTTCAGTCAAATGAAACGCCATCATACGTATGTTAGATATATAATCTATCCAAGATAAAAAAGAAGTGTTAAGATATATAAAAGAATATTAGTGACAGATGTGAACAGGACTCTTTCCCACTCTGTTCCTACAATACAAAATTTTTTTTTTATTAAAGATATCATCTTAATTATGAACATACATTTATTCAAGTGTCTATTATTAAGGGTGTTCGTATAGTGAGAAACTCTTTTGAAAATATTCTTATATTTCGTATCTTTCTATTTTAAACTTGACTTGTTTAAACTAAATAAATTTTGTTTTACAAACCCTCTTTCGTTACAGAAAAGTTCAAATCATGAAAACTTGAAACACAGTTCTCGCACACTAACTTTCTGTAACTTTTCTCTCACAGTACGTCAGACGCCACTAAAAGAATCTGGTGATTCGATCTTCAATGGCGATCATCCATCCACCTACTAATCGTCGTCCTGATGCTTAATCTTCGAAAAAAAATAAATTCATTGTCACAATTTCTCTATGAGAACCAAGGCTTAAGTTTTCCTGTAACGAATAAGCGGTTGTAAAACACATTTCATATGTTTTCCGACGTGCATAGATCGTTTTATCACACAACAAGTGGGTATATAAAGCTTGTCATCATTTGAAAGTTCATTTCACATGTACATTTCCTGATTGAAAATAGTTTATGTTTTTTTCTTTTCTTTATTTTTTGTTTTATTTACTAAGACAAATAAGACACTGTATTAATTCATTTATCAAAATCTTTACCTCTCTCTCTCTCTCTCTTCTTTACATAGGTGTGTACAAAATTTTTATTTTGCTGAAAAAAAGAAGAAGCGATGTGAGTGCACATTGATAACAAGAGATAATCTCAACTGTGTTCTGTTCTACCATAATAAACTCAATGTTTGTGATCAGCTTAACTTGTGTCGATGTATATCAAAAATATAACTAAAAAGAAGTGAAGGTAGAAATTTATTCATCCAATTCATACTATTTTTCTTACTTGTCGTTCGAATTTATATTAAAGAAAATGAGATTGACGCTTTTTGAGACTATGTATAGTTTAGTTTATGTGTTCTATAATCTCTTTTGTGACGTGACATTAAGAATGTCTGCTTTGTAAAAGAAAAAGACTTCGCATAAATGACTAATTAAAAGCGTGCCAATTAGTGAGAAGAACATATTTTAGAAACCTTATAGTGGACATGTATTGTAAAGATACAGTGAAAAACGTGTTCTAGTCTTTATGTTTAGAGTTTCCTAATAGTCCAGCTGTGTCAAAGAGTTCTCTAATTATTTGTCAGTTTTTTTTTACTCATAATGTTCATAATTCATACATTTTCTGTGTGATAGAAACGATTGTTAAAGTCAGTTGTCAAAGTTTTATTTTTTATCGACAACAATTATTTTCTGTTTGTATACAAAAAGAAAAGAAAAGAAAAAAGATTAAATGTTGGTGAAAAATGATCTCTTAGAGAACATCTAATTTTTAATTTGCTTTTTTTCTATTTCTAATATTTTTAATCAGAACGTAATGTTTAATTGGAATAATATATTTCAGACTATTTACATGTGATACTGGTAAATTCATAATCGGTTCACAAAACACTTTCAAAATTTCCGAATATTTTCTATTGTAGCTGTATAATGATGTATAGTGCAAAATTTAAATGAAAATATTGAAATCTACGTTCTATATAAGTTCTCTAATCTAAGAACGAAAAAAAATCTAAGTTCTCCAGAAAATCCTGTAAGATTTTAGACATCTTCGTTAAATTTATCATTTTTTCAAGTTTGTCAATCTGTAAGATATTTGCAATAGAGTAGTGTATTTTGAAATTGAATCGATTTAAAGTAAATTAAGAATTTGTCGGTTTTATCATCCAATGTAGACAGACGTCTACTAGATTCTTGAAATTTTTTTAATAAAAAACGAACATTTTCACACGACTCAACATAAGCTATAAGATTTCAATTGCTATTTCAAACTTTTGGCGTTTTAACCTAATTTTTTGTTTTCTAAAGATTTTTCACAGAATACTTTTATATTGTCTTTATAAATATGTAAAGATACTGTAAAGTCTCGTCTAATCGTATTGTCTCTATCTATCATCAATCAAAATTTATTTAAAAAAAATGTCACTGTTTTTTAATGGACTATAATTTTTTATTTTTCAATATGCGCGACACGTTCATCGATATAAACTTATGAGTAAAGTGTTTGTACATGTTTATTCGATAACATTTTCCTTTTATTTCTGTTAAAAGAAATAAAAATTTCGTTTTAACCGTTTATAACGACCCGACCATATTCAATAGATATGTGTATTTTATTCAATCATTGAATAGTACCTATAAATTATTATTACATAATCAAAAGTGTTTTGATAACGTGTAACACATTGCGTATTGTTTGTTGATCATTTAAACTTTACGAATCACTCACCAAAATATATTTGAATACCGTTCAGTAGATCAATTTAAAACTAAAACATTTTTCAAAAAAAAATTTTGATTTTGAATGAGCTGTTGATTAAAATTTAAATATCAAAAACAAATAACAGTGTATAAGATGAATGGTGGTTATGGTTGTGAAAGTTATGAGGCTAAGAAAAAGGAGAGTGATATGTTGAAAACTTTAAGAGAAAAAGGTATCACTATAAATATGATCCATTTGTACAATTTTCTTCTCATTTTCAAATTTTATTCATATTATAGATTATATATTAATTTATTTCGATCAAATGCAACAACAATGACGTTAGCAAACATGTCCGATGTAAATATAAATAACCATCAAGATGAAAAAGATGATTCTGGTATTGAGCAAGACAATAGTATTATTTATATAAGAATTGCCGTTGAAGATCAAAATTTGCAGGTATGAAATGAAGATCATCTACTTTTTGTTCAAAAATCATTCAATAGAAGTAATTTAACGATATCAGATTAACTTGTTAGATGTTCAGATACAAATCAAAATAAATTTGATCAGAGAGATTTCAAGAGATCCTCATTCAATTTTATAGTTCAAATAGTATAAAGAATATTGTACAGATATTTTTGACAGTGTGATGGTCTGATGATGAACAATTAGATATTTCAGTTTTAAATCTAATATTTAACCAATAATTGATAGATATTTATTTCATTATACAATATTAATCTTTCTAATTAATTTAATATTTTCTAGAAAGTGTTAAAATTTAATTTGGATGATACTGTATGGAGTGCAAAATTAAAAGTTTTACAACATTTATTAAAAGTTTGTATTTAGTGTTTTCTTTTTTAATGTTTACTTTAACTATTATATTTTTCCGTGGTATAGGAAGTGAATGATGGTTTAAATTTTGGATTATATTCACCCCCCTGTAATGGACGTGCAGGAAAATTTTTAGATGAATCAAGATGTATTCGAGATTATCCATTATGTCAGCCAGTGGGATATTTGGAAGTAAGCAAAATTGATAATATCTATATATTAGAATATTTTTGCATAGACAAATTCTCATGTATTCTCACTATTTTATTTACAGTTTAAATATAAAAGACGGGTTTACAAAGCTGTCCATCTTATGCAAAAAAATATTAATTCAAAAGTAAGTAACCATACATATAGTCAGCTCTTAATCTTAACTACTACTACTGTTCTGCTTTTTAGACAAATATGAAAAAATTTGTTGATTGTATAAAAATGGAACAAACATTTAAAGTTGCCAGATATCTTGAACGAGGATTTGATCCAAATATTCAGATAACTGATGACGGTATGATACATACACAAATTAGAAGAATTCAATATTATTTAAAATGTCTCATTTTAGAAACTCCTCTAACGTGTGCAATTGATCTACAGAATCCACGTGAAATGATAATGACGTTAGTTAATGGTGGTGCACATCTTGATTATAGAACAAAAGATGGACAAACACCTTTACACAAAGCAGCCATAAACAATAAAAAAGCAGCCATTATGGTAAGAGAATATCCCTGTCGTCAAAATCGACAAAAAAAATTGTACATGATCGTGATTTTTAAGTAGAATTTTTTTCCGAGTGATCACGATTTAAGAAAAATGAATGGTTGCTTGCAATTTCAGATAAAGCCATCGACTAACTCTTTATCCCAGCTGATCATGTAAACCGAAGCTGATATTCTTTTAGACTTGATAAAACAAATTTTGTGAAAACTTTCTAGGACTTGTCCGTTTCTCGAAGGAAAAGGAAGTTTAAAATATAAAGTTTATATACCGTGGTTTCCAGGGGGGAGGGGTAGCTGTAAACTTTTGGGGTGAAATTGTGATTGATCAAATTTCAATATAAATTTGGTGTTTACAGCTACTGAATAGACTAGTAACAGACAGTGTATTATGTTCACTATAATGTTCACACCTGTGGACATCCGAAGGTGAAGAGTTAATCAAAATTTAATTTGCTATTTTTTATGACTCATTCTAAAAATTGCGATTAAGTTAGCTGATTTTCGCAACAGGAGTAGTTATAAACACTTCCAGTAAAAAAATGATTTAGTAATTACATGATGCCATCCTGAGATAAGTTTCCATTAGTATGTTGATATAATAAGATATAATTAAATTTAGATTATTCTTGAATTGGGTGGTTCACCAAATGTTTATGACGAAAAACAATTGACACCATTGTATTATTGTATATTATATAAAGCAGATCCATATTGTGCTCAATTATTACTACAAGATCATAGTATTGTTGATTGTACAGATGAAAATCTTTCAACAGAAATTCATCAGGTAACAGTATAATTTGAAGAGTAAATATAGAACTTTTATTTACTTGATTTATGCTTTAGGCTTGTCGTTTTGGACTTGTTCAACATATTGAAAATCTTCTATTTTATCGAGCTGATATTAATGCAAAAAATACAGCAGGAAATACACCGTTACATGTTTGTGCAGCTAATAATCAGGTATGTTGTAATTTGTCACTAGATGAGTATAGAATTAATCACTTAGTAAAAGACTTTGTACAGTACATAATATCAGATTATATAAAATTATTATCATTGAACTATCTTTCTATTTATTATCAAATATATGAATTGTATTGTTTTGTTTTCTTATCGTATCTCTCTTTTACTCTCTCTATATTCGGATTGTGAGTGAATAGTCAGTCATATACGTATAATGAATGAATTTACATACAATTATCTTAAAGAGAAAGATGACATTCTCATCTCTCACAGTTTTCTTTTTCCTCGATTGTTTTTATCATATAGCTTTTTAACATTGTTTTAGGATTAACTATCGTGTATTTACCACCACTCCCCAATTGTTGTTTTTTTACTTTCGTGCTTTATGCAATCGTCAAATGGTCATCATTTTCTTTCACTATGATACTTATATAGTCGTTGAATCATTTCTATAAAAACTATATAAAATGGATAATGTTAGGATATTTCGTATAAAAATTGATAGGAATTTTTCAGACTTTTTCTCCAAAACGTTATTATGTCTTAAAACCATTAACAGACTCTTATGCAGTACGAAGTCGTTCAGTTTTTTCGATCAGAAGATATTTCAATTTAAACTTTAAACTTTTTCGTGGTTAATCCTTTATCACTGTGAGTGTTGTTGTATTATTTATTTGTATGAATAAACTGCATCTTCGATAACGATCTTGAGACGAATAGCAATTAGAGACCTGTACGAGTTAAGTAAATGTAACCCGAACTCAACCCGATCCAACGTCATCTTAACCGAATCCCGATCCGATTCTAGGATCAGATCGAGTTGCAGGTCTCTAATTGCAATGGAAAATAAATTTTGAAATGTTGTCTATTTACAATGTGTCCAGATCGTTCAATTTATTTTCTGTTTTTATCAAGATCACATTACATTTCATCAAATTATTTGTTTTTTATTCATTTTTAAAGGAAAGCTGTGCACGTGTATTATTATTTCGTGGCGCTGATACAACATCTATAAATAAAGCAAACCAAACACCGTACGAATTAGCTTTAGTATCACAAAATTTGTCAATTGCAAGTATTATTCAACAACATAAACCGGACTATGTTGGTAAGCACTATGATTTTGTTCATTGTAAACCATTAATTTTCCCCAGTTAGCTTCAAATTATTCACGACTATTTCATAATATTGTTCGTCTATGTTCATAGATTATCTTCAAAAATACAACTTTCTCTATCTTTAACCTTCAAATCATCGTGCTAGACAGCCTGGGATATGTAAAGTTGATGATAGTAGACTTGTCTTATTAATGAAATAATAGCTGTTAGTATTTATTTTCTCCAGAAAATATTGACAAAACGCTCTAATCAATTTTGTTAGTGTATCACTACTAAATTATTCCTTTAGTCACCGATGACTACACATTAATGATCAATTATAAAGTTTATTTTATATCAATTTTATTTTTAGTACCCTATCGTGAAAATCCTGTTATAAATCCTAAACGGCGTAGTATCTACGTTGAACAACGTCTTCGCACTAATTGTACATCAGCTTCGTCATCGTTGAATAGTCGTTCTCAAAGTATGCCAAAATTAAATGGCGGTATGAATGGATCGATTCGTAGTCATAGTCCGATAAATGATTATTTTCAAACACAATCCAGTCGATCATCATCACCAAAATCATTTAGTGTTAATAGTGATCACGGTTTTGGATCAGAGAGTGCATCACATCTCTCAGGAGGTATGAAAATGAGAAATACTATAATTTTTTTAATTATCAAATTAATAACTTAATTAATACAGGATCTCCGATTGTTCAAACATCTATTGTCAATGGTGGTTATACATATTCAAGAAAACGTCTGTATGCAGCTGCACCCGGACGAAAATGTGTCTGTATTAAACCGTTTAAAGCTCAACAACAAGGCGAATTAACATTGAAAAAGGGAACTATCATGGAAAGTAAGTCATATAGAGGGGAACATCCATATGAAGCATTTCACCATTACATAAACCTTCGGCGTAAACCGTAAGACCAACCTCATTTTGTAGACCTTGTCGAGCTGAGCCTAGCTGCGCGAATCGCCGGTTCGGAGGTAATGTGCATAAAACGTTATAAGGACTTTATTGTTGTAGAGGAAAAGTACAATTTCCTTGTTTTTCCAGCGGATCTTGCCTAACTTGTAATGATTCCTCTGAGTCTATTTCCCAAACGAAATTCTCGTGGGTGGTTTCAAATGAAAGAGCGTCTCAAATACTATATATTTTGATGGAAAAAACTAGTGACCCAAGAAGAATGTTTGAGCTATGGATCTATGAAAAACTAGTAGTATTTGTGGTATTTTCTCTGTATTGTACACACCAAATTTGATGAAAATAATCTTGTATAGATTATTTTTTATGCTGAATTCGACTTTCATATTTAGAGAATGTATTTCTGCTTTGTTCAGATGTGAAACTCGGATATACTCCTAGAGTTGTTCATTTTATATAGAAATTTTACCGTTTTTGACATGTAAGAGGTATATTACAATGGAGAAATTACACAGCTTATTTTCTCTCTCTAGAAAGAAAATTAATATCTGCATATGATATATAAAATTATCTCAGTCAGAAAGTTTTGATTTCACTTCTAGAACAGAAATATTGCACATATCTTTTTCTATGCTAAAGGTTGAGAAATGTCATTCACAGAGTTTAATTTTGTATACATTCTACATTTAGTTTTGAGCGTTGGTGAACAAGGCTATTTGGAAGGACGTTCTAAAGATGGTGAAGGCTGGTTTCCAAGTCATCATGTTCAAGATATATGTGTATTTAGTAAGTATATTTTTAAGCACTACTGTTCTTTATATAAAAGCGAATATATCTGGCATAATAGAAAATGGTGAAACAATGAATGATGACACAATTGTTATACGTCGTGATGCATTGTCTGCTTTAATGATTAATAATGATTCATTTATGCCCAGAACAGTTGTATTACAACGAGGAAAAAAAGGTTTTGGATTTGTTTTAAGAGGATCAAGAGGTAATAATAAAATTTAATATTATTATTATTTTGTAAAAAAAAAAAATTATTAAAAATTTAGATGCTGGTAAATTATTTAATCCTACACCATCATTTCCTGCCTTACAATTTCTTGACAGTATCGAAAAAGGAAGCAACGCAGACAAAGCTGGACTTAAACAAAATGATTATGTGTTAGAAGTACGCATTTTACATTATATACTCAATAACAATATTAAATAGTAAAAATAACATTTATTATTTATAGATAAATAATTTAAATGTAATATCGATGCCTCATGAAGAATGTGTAAATTTAATTAAGAAAGCCGGTGATACGTTAGCATTAAAAGTTGTTACAGCAGTACCAATGACAAATGATTGTACATCAACAATAACATTAAATATGATTAATAATAATTATTCACAATCATTACCGTATAGAAGAAAAGGTAAAATTATAGTTTTAAACATGTACAACATATTTAATAAAAGATTTTGATAGCACTCTATAGACAACAGTCAACATTAATAATAGAAAAAAATTTCAATCTCAATTATTATTATTATTCTCATTTTCAGCACCTATTTTAATCCGACTACCTGATTCAACGGGTGTTTGTGAAACACTTGGTATGTGTTCTTTCACGAGAAAAATATAAAATTTGCACGATTACAAATATATACATAGAGCAAAGAAAAACAGAAAAAAAATAAATGTCTTTTATTACCTCGTTATCTTTTAGAAAGATGAATAGTCTATTTCTTCTTCTCTTGGGATGTAATATTAAATCAGTATGAAATGTGCACGATCTCATCCTTTATTAAAAATGATTAAATGAGTCTAGTTAAGTTCTTAAATTTTCTTATAGCTAATTCGTGTAGATCATCATCAAAATCATTGAGTATATCAAATCATCCACCATTTAATTATTTATTTCGATCAAAAAATGATGGTTATATAAATACGGTTATAGGTATTAATGAAAATTAAATAAAAAAAAAAAAAAAAAAATAATAATAACAATTTAGGATCATATAAAATTTTAGCTAGATTTTTCTCTATGCATGAAATAATTGAACTTTTTTTTTTTGCATCACATTCTACACTCATTTGCACCAAACACTTTGCATGAAAATTGTCAAACAAGTATCATGTCAATCTATGTGCATGTTATGATGGAACTAACTTTAGTTGTAAGATATTCAGACTTTTCGTGCCTCTTCACAGTCTATCAAACATGTATTTGTCATTTTTTCACATCACATCGGGAATTTTGGTATATAACTAAATCAGTATTCTGAAGAAGAAAAAAAAATAAATTTATTGATATCAAGTGTACTTTATAATATTAATCACTCGTTTTTAATAAAAATATGACAATAATCTAATTATTTTTTTTTTAGAAGAACTTGATCGTACATTAGCTGAGTATGAATATGGAAGTATGTTAAATTCACAATCAACTTCCGACATGAATTATTTACCGTTAAAACGTCAAACGTTTAATGAAGAAATAGCATTGACAAATATGAATAAAATCATTACTAGAACAACACCATCACTATCAATTAGAAGAGGAAAGTAAGTTGAGAATGAGATGTAGAAAAAATTAGGCAGTATAACATGAACATTTTTTTGATTTAATAACTACTTCAACGAGTTTAGGTTATTGTAATATACCATATTACAATAACCTAAATATTAACTACGCACAATATTAAATATAGGAATGTAAAGGCGTTTTTATTTTCCTACACACGTTCAAAATTTTATTAAAAAAATAGGAAAAAAAAAATTCTACTTCAGCACGTTCAAGTCCTGACAACCAGTTGGATAAAAAAACTCTAAGTTAAGAAAATATCGACGTACAATAATATATCAATATTGACTACAAATGAGAAAAACACTTTTTCTGTAACAGCATTTTAACAAAATAAAATTATGTATCGTAAGTTTTCATGTTGAATATATTTCGTTATTTTTCAGATCAAAACCTGTTGTACCAGAACGTGAATCCAGTCTCTACGATTGTTTTTCGGCTATAAACGGTAATCAATCACAACAACATCAACAAATTTATGGAACATTTCGACCATTATCATCATCGCTACAGACTCAACGTCATCTCGCTACAAGTGTACCTAATTTAAGACATAATTCGAATTCGTCATCAAACGAAGCTGACGAAGAATCATCATTATCGTCTTTAAATAGTAATCAACATCCGCAACAGCAAAATCCATATATTGAAATAACAAATTCATCAACTACAAATACTTTGGTATCGTCTGATGGAATTTATATGACACCATCACTAGTGATGAATACATCTACATCTTTAACAACGTTTAAAGGCACAGCACCTCTTGCACCACCTCCCGTTCCTCCTCCATTTCCACCTTCTTTTCCTTCGTCAATCGATAAAGTAAAACCGAGCGATGTTAAAAAGCGTTCAATGGTTAAAAAACAATTATTGTATGCATCCTTAAACTCGAATAATAATAATAATAATAATAATCGTGATAGTGAAACAACGAATAGTGACAATGAAAGACAACAGTCGATGCCTCCACCTCCACCACCACCGTTTCCACCTCAATTAAATAAATTAACTCCACAACATCAATTCTCGCAACAACCTTCACAAATAAAACTTGCACATGAAAAACCTGTAATAACTACGGCAACAATTGTTGGAGATGGAAATCTACAAACAGAAATTGAACAAGCAAGAAATCGTTTAAAAAAACCACAAGCTATACAAATAGTACACGTACCAAAAAAAGAGACAATACAATCAAAATCGATACAACAACGACCATTATCCACCTTATCAAACGGAAGAACAACTTCATGTAAGAATACATTTATCATTAATTACACGTTTAAGTAATATGCCCTGAAATAAATTGTATATAAGGCGTTGTAAAAAAAGTTGACAGATATATATACAAATGTCACGGTTAATTGCTTAAAACATTTCGTTTTCTTTTCTTATTCTAGCTTCACCTTCATCGTTAAATACTCCGCCACGTTCAACTATTCTTCATCCATCTTCAACTTATACTGAACTAAAAAATATTGTTATTGAGGATTTAACACCGTCTACAACCGTCACATCATTTCCACCTCCACCATCTCCTACAACTTTGAGAAAAAATACAACGTCAGAACAAAATATAACATTGACAAGATTAACAAATGAACAATCATCATCTTTATCATCAACTAAATCAGTTTTTTCACTACCCACATCTCTTTCTCAAGGTGTAACAGATGTAAGACACGATGCAAATTTTTCATCTGTTATTGCACAAAAAGCAGCTGAAAAACAAGCGAGATTTAACGAAACAAAACCAGTAAAACAAATTCCAGCAACATTCTTTTCTGGTATAAATCAAGCAACTATTCAATATCAACAAAAATCAACAACATACTATAATCAAGTATCTACCAATGGAACAACAACAGGAAATGTTAAACAAACAGGTAAACATTTTTTTAAAAATTTGTTATAATTAATCATACATTTTGCCTAATGTTTATCAAAATGAAACATATTTTAAATAGCAGCACAGACAAAGCATATTTTTTATGTGGGAAGACACCATTTTCTATTTTTCACTCTACAAATGTTTCATACATAAACAATTTGGAATTTGTAAATGATTCACATTTGATTGCTGCAAGTAGTAGTGTCTGCTGATAAAAAAAAACAAACAGCTATTGTCCAAAGCACCATACTTACTCATACACAGCGCTTTAAATTACCTTATTTTATATTTTCAGCGCAACGTTACCAAATGTGATTGTAAGTTCCTTCCCTCTTTTTGTATCATCTATGTACATTATTCTATGATAGAAAAAAATCCCTCTTTTTTTCCATGGGTGTTCAGTCAAGTTATTAAATACACAATATAATAGCTTATATTAAAAATGCGTTTGTTGTGCCATTAATAATACTTATAATGCTTCGTTACTACTCGCTTCTACTCAACTGTTTAGGCAGTATGCTTTTGTGTGCGTGTGTGTGTGTTCGATCTATCTTGCATGATTGTGCGCGTTAATATGGATAACGTGCATGTATTGATGTTGTTAGTTGATTGTAGATGTGGGATTTTAAGTATGAAAATATGCGAGCTAGAAACATGTCGTGTAGAGTGAGTTTTTTAATCCAGGAAAATCATTAAAACACATTTCTATCCTTTATACGACATGTAAACAGCTTGTAATACTCTTAGATTCGTCATTTTTATCTTTGTAGTAGTATACCAATTGTTGCCTGTTGGTAATTATATAGCTAGAATATATGTATCTTACTTGAAGGGGATAGAGTAACACTAAGATGTATTGTTTATTATACGGCATGCAGTTAATGATAAGAGTAATATTAGTGTAAAGTGTGATACTTAGCAGTGATATTTAGATCAATAAAGAACAACAATATGGTGTTTTTGATAAATATCATATAAGTCGAAATCTCATGTGTAACAACAGTATCGGTTTTCAGCTTAAAAAACTTTGCATTGTAAATCTAATACATCTGTTTTTAAAATGTACCACAGTTAGTCTCATACGTTACGGGTGGAAATTCTGTTTAGACAAAAACTGTAGAAAAATAAAGACATACCAAAAGAATACAGATTTATTGTTTTATGAAAAATTTAAGACAACTAGTCATAGCAAATATCCGAGGTAAATTGTTGCTTTACTACGATAACTGAACGTTGGTCTTCTAATACAGATTCTACCGGTACTTTTCTCTGCTTAATTTGTCCATTTCCCTGGATAAGCTCTTTTTTGATGAAGAGTCAAGCTGATATATTCATTAAAAAAGCCACATATTTCATAATCGTGATTCTAACAGTTTTTCAGTGTGTAGATTCTTATTTGTTTAGTGATTTTAATGAATAAAAATAAGCACCCAGAATAAAATATTTCATTTATACCAAATACAGTAATGATATTTATTCTCTTAGAGTTGATAACATATTATTAGTCTACAAATACATAATTAGAAGAAAAATGGCGAAGTTTAATAATATGTCACTTACTAAAGGACTATAAATTTTATATACATTTGTTTACAAGGTTACATTTTTTACCAATACAAATTTCAATTTTTAGTATAACACATGCATACTAATTTTGTGCACCTACTTTAAGGTGCCTGTTAGAAATACAATTTCTTTTTTAAAAAAAGTCGGTATTAAACTAAGCACATTGTCAAATAGCACACTGTATCTACTAGCAGGACCTATAGTTATTTGTTATTCATTAAAGTGGTATGAATGTTTTTCGAAAACTTTTCTAAAAACCTTGAAAAACCGACTTTTCCAAAAATTATTCTTCCCGATAAAAGATCAAACTCAGACATAGTTTCAATTATCGGCAACGTAGAGAAAACATTTCTGATCAAAATAAAATGTCTGTCAGCTTTGGGTAGTGTCAAACGTTATGAGAGTTTGGCTAGAAGCCTTAAAACATTCACCAACCACTGGTGCCATAACAAATAAGTCGCAACTTTCGCGAAGTAATAGATGAATCTAGACGGGTATCATCGGGAGTAAAAGTATAGAAAACTGAGCTTAGTTGTTTATACGTTAATTTAAAAATGAAAAGATATAGAAAACAAACATTTGTTTGACTCGTATCAAACGATTATAATTTGGTGATAGAGTTGATGTGACGATCTACTAGAATTTATATTTTTTATTTCTTGTTTCAGCTGATATGAACAACTATTTTAATGGTGAAATATCTCGTCCGCATCTCACATCATCCTCATCGACTGTAACATCTTCCTCATCATCTTCTCCGTCACAATCATCCTCGTTATCAAATTCACCTGTTCATCAACAACGTTTTAGTCATGCTGCAAATCAGTTACTAGAAGGTTTAAAACGTCGTACTACTCAAAATGCACATCAGCAACAAACATCAATGATTAAACATTATAATCATCAGGGTACTGGTAGTACCAGTGATGGTGATAAAAATTAAAAGAAAATTTTTTTTGCTACTTTTTTTTCTCTCACAACACTTAATCCGTTTTCCGTGTGATTTTTACTATTTTTTTTCTATCCACATAGACTGTCTATATGTCGCTTTCGTAGAAAACAAAAAGCCGAAGAACAACAAATTGCTTAACTGAATATTGATTGATTCTACTACCTCTGTCTAGTTTTTATTTTGTTGAATTCACTATCATTCATTATTTTAAAAAAGAGGTGTATGTCTAGTTTACGATTGGTTGTTGTTTTTCTTTTACATTCCTATTGTTCTTCAAAAAAAAATTTTCAATCTCCTTTTTGACTAGTTTTGAGCAGAGCTATGTCAATTATAACATCAATTGTTGTGCATATTGAGAAGACATTCAACAAAATACTTCTCTAGTAAAAATTGTAAAAGAACAGAAACTCTATTCTTTACCCTGCTCAAATTTTACAACGAAATTTTGACATGTACGTGTTCTTTTGTTAAACATGTTTATCGACACACTTTTTTTTCTTCTTCATCTCAGTGATATTCACAGTCCAAAATTTTCTCTATTCTTGTTCTTTGTTGTTTTTGTTTTTACTTTTGTGTGTGTAGATGAAACACTAAAAACTATTATCTATATAATAATTCAGTCACACATTCCGCTTTTTATATGAAAATAAAATTTAATTATATTATGTAAGAAAAAGAGATTATATTGAGAATGTTTTTATCTAATGTGCTTGTTTTTCTCCAATTTAATTTTCCAATTATTATCAGTTTGTAACATAAAGATTCTATCATCTGATGAAAATTGAATTTTCAGATGAAGATTTTTGTCAAAGAACAATAATGTTGATAATTTCTCAAATACTACTCTGTAATTATTCAAACAGATGGTTTGTTTGCGAAGAACATTTTTTGTCCTTCAGTCATGAAAAAACCTTATAAACTAAAAATAATCGTTTAAAAAATATTGATTCCAAGACATTTCAGTTATGATTGAAATTTGTTTTCACTCAACACTTTTCATTTCATATATGATTCAATGCAGCTTGACGAAGATTTCGAATGTGTTGTTTATTTTCGTTCAAAAAGTTTTATTTAATTGAGAAGAATAGATTTCACATCAGACACCAAGAAGTTTTCAAAACACTATAAAAGAAAGTTTAGAAACAACTATTCATACATATGGACATATAATCAATGCTCTGTATGTAGAAGAATATCTGTATAATATTTAAATCACATTGAAGGTTCGAAAACTCGTTACATTGAAGAATTGTGGTGTTTGAAAAATATGTGAGGACGAAAAAATAGTATTTTCTTAAAAACTGGACGAGTAAACTTGAAAATTTTTTCATCATTAAATAAATAAATATTTCAGTGCGGAGTCATGACTAGGACTGTAAAAGTTCCCGTAGCGCTGATTTAACGCTAACTGAAAATACAATTACTGTTATTTTAACGGTAACTAACTTATCAGTTAGCGTTAAAACAACGGCAACTGTCTTTTCAGTTACCGTTATTTTAACGGTAATAGCATTTCCAGTTACTGTTGAAATAACGATAACTATCAGTTAGTTAACTTTGTGGTAATTATTTTTTAAGTATGGCAGAAATATCCACGCAGCGGCTTAAAATGGCTTCTAAAATCGTTAATTTTCCACTAAAACTGTTGAAACTTTCATAAATGACATGGTTTTGATTAGCACACACGTGCCAGTCAACTAAACTAATCGAAATTATATAACTTCAATGTTTTGTAACTGCGGTTTTTAAGGTTTCTGAAGACCTCAGTGTCTACAGCCGGCTTGAGAAATCTTTGTGTTTTCATCAACGAAATTAGACTATAAAACCATGTCATTTATGAAAGTTTCAGCAGTTTTAGTGGAAAATTAACGATTTTGGAAGCCATTTTAAGCCGCTGCGTGAATATTTCTGCCATACTTAAAAAATACTTACCACAAAGTTAACTACTATCCATTTCAAAAAAGAAGAAGCACGGCCATTTCTTTGATAACTTTTTCTAAGAAGCAGCTAAAAAGGTGCGGTTTTCAGTATCGGAAAGCGAAATGTTGGGGTAATATGAAAAACTAA